AGGGAAAAGAATACATCACTTGGAGGATGAACAATAGGTTACTGAATGATCAATGGGTTATAGAAGACATCAAGGAAAAAATTAAAAAATTCTTAGAGATTAATGAAAACACAGACACAACATATCGGAATCTATGGGACACATTGAAAGCAGTTCTAAGAGGAAAATTCATTGCTTGGAGTTCATTCCTTAAAAAAAGAAAAAACCAACAAATAAATGATCTCATACTTCATCTCAAAATCCTAGAAAAAGAAGAGCAAAACAACAGCAAAAGAAGTAGAAGGCAAGAAATAATTAAAATCAGAGCTGAAATTAATGAAATCGAAACAAAAGAAACAATTGAAAAAATTGACAAAACTAAAAGTTGGTTCTTTGAAAAAAATAAACAAAATCGACAGACCCTTAGCCATGCTAGCGAAGAGGAGAGAGAACTCAAATCACTAACATACGGGATGAAAGAGGCAATATCACAACAGACACTTCAGAAATACAGAAGATAATCAAAAATTATGTTGAATCCTTATACTCCAATAAATTAGAAGATAGTGAAGGCATAGATAAATTTCTTAAGTCATATGATCTGCCCAGATTGAGTCAGGAGGATATAGACAACCTAAACAGACCAATATCAATTGAGGAAATAGAAGAAACCATCAAAAGATTACCAACTAAGAAAAGCCCAGGACCGGATGGGTATACAGCAGAGTTTTACAAAACCTTTAAAGAGGAACTAATACCAATACTTTTCAAGCTACTTCGGGAAATAGAAAAAGAGGGAGAACTTCCAAATTCATTCTACGAGGCCAACATCACCCTGATACCTAAACCAGACAAAGACACTTCAAAGAAAGAAAACTACAGACCAATATCTCTAATGAACCTAGATGCAAAAATCCTCAATAAAATTCTGGCCACTCGGATACAAAAACTTATCAAAAAAATTGTGCACCATGATCAAGTAGGATTCATCCCTGGGATGCAAGGCTGGTTCAATATACGGAAATCAATAAATGTTATTCACCACATCAATAGACTTAAAAATAAGAACCACATGATCATCTCGATAGATGCGGAAAAAGCATTTGACAAAGTACAGCATCCCTTTATGTTCAAAACTCTAGAAAAACTAGGGATAATAGGAACATACCTCAATATTGTAAAAGCAATCTATGCTAAGCCTCAGGCTAGCATCATTCTGAATGGAGAAAAATTGAAGGCATTCCCTCTAAAATCTGGAACAAGACAGGGATGCCCTCTCTCACCACTTCTGTTCAACATAGTTCTTGAAACACTGGCCAGAGCAATTAGACAGACGAAAGAAATTAAAGGCATCAAAATAGGAAAAGAAGAACTTAAATTATCACTATTTGCAGATGACATGATTCTATACCTAGCAGACCCAAAAGGGTCTACAAAGAAACTATTAGAGCTAATAAATGAATTCAGCAAAGTGGCAGGATATAAAATCAACACGCATAAATCAAAGGCATTCCTGTATATCAGCGACAAATCCTCTGAAATGGAAATGAGGACAACCACTCCATTCACAATATCTTCAAAAAAAATAAAATACTTGGGAATCAACCTAACAAAAGAGGTGAAAGACTTATACAATGAAAACTACAGAACCCTAAAGAGAGAAATAGAAGAAGATCTTAGAAGATGGAAAAATATACCCTGTTCATGGATAGGCAGAACTAACATCATCAAAATGGCGATATTACCAAAAGTTCTCTATAGGTTTAATGCAATGCCAATCAAAATCCCAACGGCATTTCTTGTAGAAATAGAGAAAGCAATCATGAAATTCATATGGAAAAATAAAAGACCCAGAATAGCAAAAACAATTCTAAGCAGGAAGTGTGAATCGGGCGGTATAGCGATACCAGAGTTCAAACTATACTACAGAGCAATAGTAACAAAAACAGCATGGTACTGGTACCAAAACAGGCGGGTGGACCAATGGTACAGAATAGAGGACACAGAAACCAATCCACAAAACTACAACTACCTTATATTTGATAAAGGGGCTAAAAGCATGCAATGGAGGAAGGATAGCATCTTCAACAAATGGTGCTGGGAAAACTGGAAATCCATATGCAACAAAATGAAACTGAATCCCTTTCTCTCACCATGCACAAAAGTTAATTCAAAATGGATCAAGGAGCTTGATATCAAATCAGAGACACGCCGTCTGATAGAAGAAAAAGTTGGCTACGATCTACATACTGTGGGGTCGGGCTCCAAATTCCTCAATAGGACACCCATAGCACAAAAGTTAATAACAAGAATCAACAAATGGGACTTACTCAAACTAAAAAGTTTTTTCTCAGCAAAAGATACAATAAGAGAGGTAAATAGAGAGCCTACATCCTGGGAACAAATCTTTACTCCTCACACTTCAGATAGAGCCCTAATATCCAGAGTATACAAAGAACTCAAAAAATTAGACAATAAGAGAACAAACAACCCAATCAACAAATGGGCCAAGGACCTGAACAGACACTTCTCAGAGGAGGACATACAATCAATCAACAAGTACATGAAAAAATGCTCACCATCTCTAGCAGTCAGAGAAATGCAAATCAAAACCACCCTAAGATACCATCTCACTCCAGTTAGGTTGGCAGCCATTATGAAGTCAAACAACAACAAGTGCTGGCGAGGATGTGGGGAAAAGGGTACACTTGTACATTGCTGGTGGGACTGCAAATTGGTGCAGCCAATATGGAAAGCAGTATGGAGATTTCTTGGAAAGCTGGGAATGGAGCCACCATTTGACCCAGCTATTCCCCTTCTCGGTCTATTCCCTAAAGACCTAAAAAGAGCATGCTACAGGGACACTGCTACATTGATGTTCATAGCAGCACAATTCACAATAGCTAGACTGTGGAACCAACCTAGATGCCCTTCAATGGATGAATGGATAAAAAAAAATGTGGCATTTATACACAATGGAGTATTACTCTGCATTAAAAAATGACAAAATCATAGAATTTACAGGGAAATGGATGGCATTAGAGCAGATTATGCTAAGTGAAGCTAGCCAATCCCTAAAAAACAAATGCCAAATGTCTTCTTTGATATAAGGAGAGTAACTAAGAACAGAGTAGGATCGAAGAGCATGAGAAGAAGATTAACATTAAACAGGGATGAGAGGTGGGAGGGAAAGGGAGAGAGAAGGGAAAATGCATGGAAATGGAAGGAGACCCTCAGAGTTATACAAAAGTACATACAAGAGGAAGTGAGGGGAAGGGGAAAAATAATATAAGGGGGACAAACGAATGTCAGTAGAGGGAGCAGAGAGAGAAGAGGGGAGGGGAGGGGAGGGGAGGGGAGGGGGGATAGTAGAGGATAGGAAAGGCAGCAGAATACAACAGACACTAGTATGGCAATATGTAAATCAATGGATGTGTAACTGATGTGATTCTGCAATCTGTATATGGGGTAAAAATGGGAGCTCATAACCCACTTGAATCAAATTGTGAAATATGATATATCAAGAACTATGTAATGTTTTGAACAGCCAACAATAAAAAATTTAAAAAAAAAAAGAATATTCTACATGAAAGTGACCATAAGCTGATGTGACAAAAATTATCATATGAAAAACATGCTTTAAAACAAAAACTTATGAAATACAATATATTTTATTTCAAATGTATTTTATTGGCAATAGAAATAACAAATTAACAATACAATAAAAATAATAGAAGCAAATTTAATTTTATTGCCACGTAAACAAGGATCCAACATATCTCAATTTCATATTACATTGCCCTAATTTCTGAAATATTAAAAATTTCCATCAAATTATAAAATGTAGGTAAAAAAACATAATTAATTGATGTGAGAAATCAATTGATGTGAGAAATTACACTACAACATGAAATCTACCCTATAAAATAAAACAGAAATAGAAAAGAAAGAGGGAATTTAGTCAACAAAATTCTGAATAACCATGGTTGTATTATTTTACAAGCCCTTTTATATAATTATAATCACTGGTAACCCAAAATGAGCAGCCATTATGAATTACATTAATTATATGGCAGAAAAATTCCACAAAAAATCTATTATAAGTATTCATAATGAGCTCTAATAAGCAGACTTCAGTGAATAAATGTATAAGTGAAATTAGGGAAACTGCTGTATGATACTAATATATTACAATGGCTTCCCCTAGAGTTATCCAGAAATGTGCAAGATTTCTGAGATACCCTCCCCCCACACACAAATAATGGAAATGCTGTCAGATCACGCTGACCCTCACAAGCAAAGGGGAGTGTTTGGGCTGTTAATTTGAACACACTGGGACATCAGTGCAGGAGAAGAGAAAATTAAAGAGGTTGAAAGCATGCTAAACACAAGGCAGTACCTGTCTTTCTAGGATAGCAAGAGAAACAAACCTAATCTTCTGGAAAATTATTTATGTAGCATGATAACATCTCAACCAACACTTGGAAGTTTGGCTGCCTCCTTGAACTTTGGACCTCTCAACTGTGTCCTCTGTTTCATGAATTTCTATCTACCTGGAAACATGGCTCAAGGCTCTCTCCTTTGCTCCAGAGGAAGGTGTGCAAATATGGTTTAGAGACAATAAGATGTGTTCATTGGAAAATGAAATGACTACTTGTTGTGATTTTCCCTGTGACTACTGATGCTTTCATTCTGGTACTGTAAAGAGGAGAAATTGGACTTTGATGTGTAGGTCACATCATTCTATATCACTGAATTACTATAAGTACCACTAATCTAAAGTGAAGGGTATATATCACCTCAGGAAAGGGAGAGGTTAAGAACTAAAAGTAATGACAGCAACACTTTCTTCTCTGTAACAAAAATTGTGCAAGCCTTTTTCTTTTTCTTTTCTTTTTCTTTCTTTTTTTTTTTTTTTTTTTTTGAAAGCAAAAATCTGAAATTCCTTCATGAAGAGCAGAAGTATATTCTGCATGGGAAAAATTATATAATTAAGAATTCTGAAGAGAAGTTCTGCTCACCCAGGAAGACCAGGTTTCTGTAGGTCTCTAGCATCACATCTCTGTATAAATTCTGCTGAGCAGGCTCCAGGCATTCCCATTCCTCTTCAGAGAAATCAATGACCACATCCCTGAATGTCAACAGTTCCTAAAATAGTATTAGTCAAATTAATATCACATTGACCATATCATCATTCACAGAGCTTTTAAGTTCTCTGAAGATGAAATGAAATTTAGTAGAACTGGCTCTCAAGTAGATTAGTGACTTTAATTATACAAGAAAATACATTGTAACAAAGTAATAATCTCTATTATCTAACTCTGAGGAAAGAGTGTTGAGAGTCAAAAAACCAAGGTATTGATATCACTATCATGAAATAAGATGTAAAATTAAGGCATCAACACAAGAATATACACTTTGTGATTTTAAAATTATAAGATAAATTGTCTATTTCTCAGATAAGAAAGTTATGGTAAGTAAAAAGGGTGATTCTCAAAATTTGAATCCACAACCATGAATCAAGAGATTTACTAAAATACAGACTCTCGTCCAGTGTTTTTGGGATGGAATCTGATTTTCTGAATATGTAGCAGTAATTCCAATCTAGTGATCCTAGTGCCAGTGATCCACAAGAAACTGTTGAATAACAATGAGAAAAACCAGTTTAGAAAAAAGTTCTTGATGAATTTGAGTTAAAATATTTTAAAGGATTTATGTTCTTTTATTAAAATAGCAACTATCAACATCAATCTTTTTTGATCATTTCAAATGTATACTTCTCACTATATGAGTTTTTCATGTCCTAATGCAGAAATCCAAAAGAATGCAATAGCAGTAATGGTATTCATCTTTTATGACATTTGATCAAATATTCAGTAAATGGTAGAGTCTAATTTTTACCCAAGTTTATTTGACCTATAATTTAGAAAAAATAGGGAATATTAATGTCAATTTAAAGTGTGAATGTTTGAAAATATTTCAGAGCAGAGTGATGATCATAAATGAGAAGACTCATGGAAACATGTTAAGAAGAAACAAGAACAGATTGATGAAATGACATTTTTATGTCACATACACATGTCTGAGACCATATATGAATTGTGGGTTTGTTTGCACCATCACAAGGCAGGGGAGTTTCTTTTGTGGGAACTCAAGGTGAAATTCCACCAATGGACACCCTGCCTTGGCTCAGACAGCCCTAGGTTCAAACACGGCCCACCTGGAGGTAGAAAGGAGGTGGGTGTGACCTGCTAAGCCCCAAACAAGTGGTTTTGCCACCTTCATCCTGTTTTCCTGAAGCAGTTCCTCACGCTGACCCCCTTGGTGTACCTACCCACATAAACTGCTGCCTGGGCTCCAGTTGGTTGTTGGATCCATTCTCCGTCTCAGCTGACTCGCCCCACTGGGCCGTGCTATTTTCCTCATTTCTGTAATCTCTGATTGACTGTCTCAGTCGGCTCATCCTGTGTCAGCTAACTGTCCATCTACAGCATTAGTCGCAGCAGAGTGTATTTTATGCCTGTCCTTCTAGGATAGCAAGAGAAACAAACCTAAGCTTCTGGAAAACCATTTATGTAGCATGATAACATCTCAACCAACACTTGGAAGTTGGGCTTCCTCCTTGAACTTTGGACCTCTCAACTGAGTACCTAATGCTAGGTACTCAGTGGTGCTCAGAGAAACTTCAGGTGAGCATCAGGACACCCCCCAGTTAAGAGCGTGCACTAGTCTCTTTGTTAAAAGGACGGTGGGGCTGTTATGGGGAGCCACTTCAGAAAACACAGAGTCCAAATTCAAATCAATGAGAGCTTTATTTACCTGGTCAGGGACTGTCACCCACCCTAGATACTGAAGCTCTGCGGAGAACAGCAGCTTCCCGGCCTGTATCCTGGGAACTTCAAGATGGAAACCACAACTCAGGGGCTTTCCTCGGCGACATGCAGATAAGCCAATCACAGAGATTGAAACAACAGTAAGTGGAACCTTCAGCCCTAAGCAGGACTGGGATTTTCCAGTTAGCAAGCAAGCAAGCACAGAAGCTGAAGAAAGGCAGTCAGCTTTGCAATTCCGCTGACCACATCCCAGGCCCAAGCAGGAGCTAGACATCAGCATCCTGGGCTTGGGCGAAAGTCTATGTCTAAGTCATAGAGACCCTCAAGGGCACCCACCCAGGATGCAGCTCCCACGACCCCCGCTGCATCCTGAGGGGGGTACAATGTGTGGGTACAGAAAAACAATTTTTATAAGAACAGCTTTCATTTCAGTCTCAGAAACAGCTCTGGTAACAGTTTTGTTGTTGTTGTTGTTCTCTTTTTTTTTATATAGAAGGAAGAAAAATGGAGTCTTAGGCCTATGACAGTTCTTGCTTTGTAATTGTCTTATCTCACTTATCATTTAATAATCTATATTTTTTACTAATCTATAACCTATAACTTACACTCTTACTGATTTTATTGATTAGTTTACATCACAATAGGGCGTGAGGAGTTGTTTTTATTAGCCGGTGCAAAAATGGGCAATTCCATCCTTGAGCGAGCTCTGTTGCCAGACGCTCAAGGTGAACAAGCATAGTTGGTGCAGCTCTCCTCTGTTTCCTTGAGGAGGGAGCTGCGAGGACCCTCCGCTGCCTGCCCAGAACAGTGGTCTCTCACTACCAAGGGCGCAAGCGCAGGAAGGTGGCTGCAGGCCTCAACACCCTGCGGTGTGTTGAGGGCAGCGAGGCCAGAAGCGACTGCCGTGGTAGGTCTCTCACTACCCAGGGCCAAGGCGCATGGTTGCAAGGGAAGCCATTTGGTGGGTTGATGGCTGCAGCTGCAGAAGCGGCAGCTGTGCCTGCCCGGTCGCCTGGTCCGGGAGGCACAAATGGCGGCCAAGAGCCCAGTGGAGTGTGGCCGGTGCTGCAGTAGCCTCGTGGGGCCTCCGGCATCATCTAACCCAACGTCGCCCACCAGGGGTCTGCGCAGGCCGAGGTGCGCAGGGACAGGAGCGGGTGGTCAGGCTCTCGGTTCTGGGCCTCAGCGCCAGGGATGCGCCGCCCTGGGTGGTCCTTGATAATAAGAGAGCTCCGTCCACCTGCAACAGCTACAGTGTTGGGCTTTTGACCTGGACTCTAGCTTTTGAAGATCTTAAATCACCTTTAAAGTCCACAAAAGGTTAGCAATTGAGGCTGCTCCGTGACCGGAAGCCTGCCCAGCTTAACCGGCTGCACTTCCAGCCGCCCCACTCCTGCTGCAGGTAGGGAGGGATGCCCTTCACCTGAGGGTGTTGGAGTGCTGCTCCCTCCCTTTAAGGTTCACTCTGACTAACCTGAGACTATCTCTGGGACACTATGAAAGCAGTTCTAAGAGTGCCGCAGTCTGGCTGGGCACAAAAAAAAAAAAAAAAAACGGGAGGTCAGGAGCCACTTGTAGATTCAAGCAGGAATGAACTTTATTTTTCAACCCCACTCAAACTCAACCCAAGTGAACTCCACCCGCGAGAACTGAATGGGAACTCCGCAGAGAACTCAAAAGTAGTGGGCACAGGAGGCAGCAGGAGCCGCCCCGTCTGGCAAAAATGCCAGGCACCATCTTGACCTGGCCTGGCTCTCAACACCAGCGCCACCCTTTTTCTTAGGATCTGGAGGCTCCTGCACACGGATTCACTTCCTGCACTTGGACAGGTCACTGGGCCGCTTCTCCCTGCAGAAAGGGACCCGGAAGGGAACGCCTATTGGCAGCGCCATGGGACAGGGTGCGCATGCCAGTATGGACCCCTTCTGCTGCGGGCTCTGCAGGAGGCGGCGGCTGGCTGGTCAGCTGCGCCCTGTGCCTGGTGGTCCAGATCAAAGTCAGTCCGCGTTGTCTGGGGAAAGTTCAGGGTGGCCCAGGAGCATGGCGAGGGGGACGCCCTTCTAACCCTCCTGCTTTCGCCCTCCGATGGCGCCCTGCCTTCTGTGCAGCGTTTGGAACCCCTACGGCTCTCAACATAAGAGGAAAGTTCACTGCATAGAGTTCATTCCTTAAAAGAAGAAAAAGTCAATGAATAAATGACTTAACATTGCATCTCAAAACCCTAGAAAAAAAAGAACAAATCAACACCAAAGCAGAAAAGCACAGGAAATAATTCAAATCAGAGCTGAAATCAATGAAACTGAAACAAAAGAAACAATTGAAAAAAATTGACAGAACAAAAAGTTGGTTCTTTGAAAAAAAATAAATAGAATTTATAGATCCTTAGCCATGCTAACAAAGAGAAGGAGAGAGAAAACTCAGATTACTAGCATACGTGATGAAAAAGGAGATATCAAAACAGACATTGCAGAAATACAGAAGATAACCGGAAATTATATTGAAAACTTGTACTCCAATAAAATAGAAAATATCAAAGGCATCGAAAATTTCTAGAGTCATATAATTCGCCCAAATTGAATCAGGATGACATACACAATTTAAACATCAATTTCAAGTGACAAAATAGCAGACACCATCAAAAGTCTACCAACCAAGAAAAGCCCAGGACCAGACAGATACACAGCCGAGCTCTACAAGACCTTTAAAGAAGAACTAATACCAATACTCCTCAGTTTATTTCAGGAAATAGAAAAAGAGGCAGCACTTCCAAACTCACTCTATGATGCCAATGTCACCCTGATTCCAAAACCAGGCAAAGACAGATCAAAAAAAGAAAAATGTCAGACCAATATCTAATGAACATAGATGCAAAAATTCTCAATAAATTATGTCAAATTGAATGCAAAAACACATCAAAAAGATTGTGCACCACGATCAAGTGGGATTCATCCCAGGGATGCAAGGTTGGTTAAGGAAATCAATAAATGTAATTCACCACATCAATAGATTTAAAGATAAGAATCATATGATCATTTCAATAGTGGCAGAAAAAGCATTCGACAAAATACAGCTCCCCTTTATGTTCAAAACACTAGAAAACTAGGGATAACAGGAACATATCTCCACATTATAAAGGCTATCTATACTAAGCCCCAGGCCAACATACTTCTAAGTGGAGGAAAAACTGAAAGCATTCCCTCTAAAAACTGGAGCATGACAGGGATGCCCTCTTTCACCACTTCTATTCAACATAGTTCTTGAAACACTGGCCAGAGCAATTAGATGAAAGAAATTAAAGAAATACACATAGGAAAAGAAGAATTCAAATTGGTACTATTTATGATGACATGATTCTATACCTAGAAGACCCAAAAAGCTCCACCAGAAAATTTCTAGAACTAGAAAATAAATTCAGCAAAGTTTCAGAATATAAAATCAACACCCATAAATCAAAGGCATTTCTGTATATCAGTGACAAATCCTCAGAAAGGGAAATGAGGAAAACTACCTCCATTTTCAATAGCCTCAAAAAAAAAAAAAACTTGGGAATCAGTGAAAGAAGTGAAAATCTATACAATGAAAATTACAGAACCCTAAATAAAGAAATCAAAGAAGACCTTAGAATGTGAAAAGATCTACCTTGCTCTTGGATAGGCAGAATTAATATTATCAAAATGACCATACTTCCAAAAGTACTATACAAATTTAATGAAATTTCAATCAAAATCCCAATGGAATTCCTCATAGAAATAGAAAAAGCAATCATGAAATTCATCTGGAAAAATAAAGAGACCCAGAATAGCTAAAGTAATCCTCAGCAGGAAGAGTGAAGCAGGTGGCATCACTATACCAGACCTTAAACTATAAGGAAATTATAGTTAATTATAATTAATCAGAAATTATATTGAAAACTTGTACTTCAATAAAATAGAAAATATCTAAGGCATGGAAAATTTCTTTAAAGAAATTTTATAGTAACAAAAACAGCATTGTACTAGCACCAAAACAGACTAGTAGACCAATGGTACAGAATAGAGGACACAAAGACTAACCCACAAAACTACAATTATCTTATATTGGACAAAGGTGCCAAGAACATGCATTGGAGAAAAGACAGCCTCTTCAACAAATGGTGTTCAGAAAACTGGAAATCTATATGCAACAAAATGAAATTAAACCCTAATCTCTCACCATGAACAAAACTCAACTCAAAATGGATCAAGAACTTAGGAATATAACCAGAGACTCTGTGTCTAATAGAAGAAAAAGTAGGCCCTAATCCCCAACTTCCTTAATAAGACTCCTGTGGCAAAGAATTAAAATCAAAAATCAATAAATGGAATGGACTCAAACTAAAAAGTTTCTTCTCAGTAAAAGAAACAATCTGTGAGGTGAATAGAGAGCCTACATCTTGGGAGCAAATCTTTACCCCCTCACACATCAGATAGAGCACTAACCTCTAGGGTATATAAAGAACTCAAAAAGCTAAGCACCAAAAAGCAAATAACCCAATCAAGAAATAGACTAAGGACCTGAACAGACACTTCTCAGAAGAGGATATACAATCAATCAACAAATATATGAAAAAAATGTTCATCATCACTAGCAATTAGAGAAATGCAAATCAAAACCACTCTAAGATTTCATCTCACTCCAGACAGAATGGCAGCTATTATGAAGACAAACAACAATAAG